CTACACAGGAAGAGCATAACGGATGTTGGAGTGGCTCCATGCTTCAAGAGTTAAATGCTATTTCCATTTCAATAGATATAGTACCATTGCTCACAGTTTGCACAAGATACAATCTTTAAAAATGCCACCAGCTCGCTTATTGGTCACCCCAAGCAACAAAACCTACACAGGAAGGACAGCCCAACTTATTCCTTGATATTCAGCTGTCCGTATTACCAATTCTTTCTAGGCCACAAAAATCACCTCTTTTGTCATGAGATCATGAAAGTTCTAGGATTAGGACAGGGTAACTATTCTGCATATAAGAAAGGAAGGGTTAGTTAGCTTTTGAGTGGACTTTACCAGAGTCCCAGTTTTATAGTCTTCCCCATTTCTCAGCCAAGCGAAGTGTGCTTCTCTCTCTGAAGGTGAATCAAAATTAGCCATACCTCCATGTGCCTTTTACATTTTGTTTCCTTCTAGTAACATAAAACACTTCTACTTTCTTTCAAGAATAAAACGAAACTCTTCTTTACCTTGATAGAAAGCCAGAGAGAACATCAGCAGCAATACCCAACTCTTCCATGAGCCTTCCATGGTCCTGGTGCCAACCAACTCTTCGTGACGGTGCCTGCCTCTTCTCTAGAATAAGCAACTTCAAAAAAGAAGCTACAAGAGGAGTACTTAACACTAAAGGTTTCACAAGTACCATTTACCACACCCATGCAATTAATTTGCATCATTTGTAAGCGCATGAGTCTTCCCAAACTGAAGGAAGCAACTCCAGTTTCTGCATAATAGCCTGTTTGCTGCCAGCCCACAAGGATGTGCCTTCTTTTCTTTTCTCCCTGCTACAACTGAGGATTGAGGGAAGGAAAATGGTTCAAGAAGCTATGTTGGGAGTCCAATTTATTATGTGTTGTCAGACCCCCCCCCCCAAAAAAAGACTGGATAGCTCAGCAGACTAATGCATTGTAATTTAACTCCAGCTGTCTGCAATTAGTAAGTTCGAATCTCCCCAGGCTCAAGGTTGACTCAGCCTTCCATCCTTTCTAAGATAGGTAAATTGAGGACCCAGTTTGTGGGGGCAATAAGCTGATTTTGTAAAAATATACAAAAGTATGAAGGCTATTGCTTAACACATGGTAAGCCACCCTGAGTCTCCGGAGAAGGGCGGCATATAAATCAAATTAAAAAAAAAAAAGACGATTCTCAATTTACGTCATTAAAAAATCTTAAACATGATAAAAAGGGATAAAATCAGCATACAGTAGTCGATTAAAAAGTACATTTAATGGAGCAAGTAGTGCTGGCAATCATTTGTCTTCGAGACGCTCTTCGGAACAGCATTGCGTTTAGCAGCTTCTGGAAGATCTACAATGAGGTTGCTTGTCAACATTAAGTAAGGGTAGAAAACATTGTGAATCTGTTTCTTCATGGTCCTAGAACAAAATGTCAAAAGATATACAGAGAACTTGTCTTTAGAAACACAAGGTGTTTCTCAACCTAAGCAACTTTTAAGATATGTTGACATGCTGGCTCTGTGAGTTGAAATCCATGCATTTTCAAATTGCCAAGTTAAAAAAAACACTGGCGTAGAAATTAAAATCAGCACTTTGAATTGCACATGGTAACTTCTCAATAACCAGTGGTCATGCAACAGCCATAAAACATCTGTATGAACTACAGGGTTTTACCCTGATCTGCAACTATTTTGCAGCTTGCTAGTTTGTTTGGATGAGAGTGGTAATGCTGAGAAATAGGCTTTTGGAGTTTAAAGGACAAGATCTGAGATTTGGATGATGTGGATATTTGTGCTACGAGAAAGTCAAGGTTAATGTGGATTTTAGAAATTCATTGTTAGATGTGCCATATTGAGAGTGTGAAATAAATACAAAACCTAGTTGTGCCTGACAACTTTTGTGGCTTTAAAAAAAAAGCACAAGCAGCATTTTAAGGATGAGAAATAAGAAACTTCAAATGGTTTTATGAGATACTAGAAAATTAAGAATGTGAAATAAAATCAAGAAAAGAACTGGCGGCAGATGGATATTCTTGTCATACTCAACTATAAGAATGTCTAAATAGACAAAAAATATGACTTTGAACATTCTAACACTTGAGTTTAAAGTAGAATTGTGGACAAATTATGAATATGCAATTGCTAAAATGTATACATTTTATTGAAATTTGAAAAAAAGTCGTATGATAAAGTGGACTAAAATTCTGGGTTATAATATAAAGATGGAACATTATATTTGTACTATATGTTCAAGAGAATTTTTATAAAATGTGTTGGTATAGGTCACCAGTATCTAAAATATATAAAGGCACTTCAAATTATGTATTTTTGTTCAAATTTGTGAAAATGTGAACAGACGTTTTATGTGTTGGGTGCACATATATATATACCAATTCAGAGGACTTTAAAGAGAGGAGACCCTTTATAGACTTTTTCAATGAGATAAAATAGAAAAGTTGTAACTATAAATGGTAAATTTGTAATTTTACTTATAACTACTGTAAAAGATTGCAAGCTTTTTTTTTTAATTTCCTTTTTCGCTTTCTTGTACTTTCAGCTTTTTTTCTTACTTTGTATTTATCTTTTATGTATGTACCAGTATGTATGTATGTATGTATGTAAAATTATGGCTACTGATTTGCTAGCGGTATACAAATTCAAAATAAAATAAAAATAAACATACCAGCCAGTTTCGTATTAATTGCAGCTTTTGCATAGCCTTCAAAGGGAGGCAAATATAGCATATTGCAGTATACCAGCAGTTAAGCATGAGGCCTCCTTGGTAGGTCTTTCAAATCACATGTGCGATTTCTTTGAAGTCATTATCAGTCCTTGAAAACTGGAGAAAATTCTTCCTTTTGTGACTCTAATTACTATATACCTATGCAGAGCTGCATTTGATTGCTCAGTGGCTAAGACACTGACTGAGCTTGTCGAATGAAAGGTCGGCAATTCAGCGGTTCGAATCCCTAGTGCCGCGTAACAGGGTGAGCTCCCGTTACTTGTCCCAGCTTCTGCCAACCTAGCAGTTTGAAAGCACGTAAAAAAGCAAGTAGAAAAATAGGGACCACCTTTGGTGGGAAGGTAACAGCATTCCGTGTGCCTTTGGTGTTTAGTTATGCCGGCCACATGACCACAGAGACATCTTCGGACAGCGCTGGCCCTTCGGCTTTGAAACAGAGATGAGCACCGCCCCCTGGAGTCAGGAACGACTAGCACTTATGTGTGAGGGGAACATTTACCTTTATAGATATATTAATGTAATTAACAATAAGACCAAAATTAGCTATCCAATCCAACCACCCTGGGCAATTATATAGCAAGAATCAATGTAAGCCTGATTCACAATTGGGTGGAATGCGGTGTTCCAAAAACCCCAAGATAATTTCTTCCAAGGACAAATGTCTGCACCTTATTTCCTGACAGGAATGTTTGCATGTTTCTTATTTATGAAAAGTAGAGCAAGCTTTCTTGATCAAACCAGATAATGTGCAACATAATTGCTGTCCCATATTTTGTTGAAATAGTCTACCTGAAGCCTATTATGAAGGAATGAACACATAACCTCCAAGATGCGATAGGCCGGTTCCTCTGGATCTCTTGACTCAGCCTTTCTCCCATAATCCCTCATGTATCCTCCCACATGCCAGAGGAGAGCCTATTAAAACAGGCTCCACCACTTTCCCCAAAGCATCTCTCTCCAGTGATGAATTATTCAGAAATAGGAAAAGTGGTGACTTCTCCCCTGCTTTTCTTTTTCGAACCTAAGCAAATGGAGAGAGGTCTTTAAAAGATTTTTGAGCCTAGCACACAATTCTGATTCAGTAAGGAGTATCAGCTCTGAGGGAAAGTTGGGAAATATGAAATATACATTTTTACATGAAGATCGTACAGTATTTTGACAATGGTATATCATACTTTTAGGCAGAGTGTTATTTTGTAAAAGAATAAAACTGTTGTGGTTATTTTCAAACAGCTTCTTACAACAGTCAAACGGGTTTGTAATAAGCTTGCAAAACCAAGTGTTTATTCTCACTGATTTGTCCCTCTGCCGCCCAAGGAAGACTGATCGGTTTTTTAAAAAACAACCCACCTCTAGGCTGCTCAGGACCTCCCCCTCCCCCTGGGCATCCCTAATCCCCAATCTGCAAACTCCCTGCACTGAGGTGAGGGAAAGTGTATTCGGTTGAAATAAAAGGCTAAATAGACTGTATCCATTTCTTTTCATTCAGAAAAGAATGAAATGGCATTCAAAATATGCCATTAAATTTAAGCAGTGTATGCCTGAAGGAATCCTAGAAGAAAACAAAAGGCTGAAGCCAGTATTTACTAGTATTTACATTTCCTCTAATACTTATTGTAGAACCAGTTTGCTCAATTTGTAGCCTATTCACATAATAAGCTTGGAACTTCAAGAAACTTAAGCACTCAAAAATCCCATTTTAATAAAATTAATTCATTAGTTCAACTAGGAATAGGGGGGAAAAAAACCAAGAAATGCCAGTAACAGTGAAAAATAGTAAATCATGACCCACATAAATGCTTGCTATAGGAGCCAAGGGCAATATTCTTGTCCAGTGGCACATAGCTACATTGCTATTTACAATTCAGTAATTGTCTTTCAAAATTCTAATTGTAGAAAAACAGTAGCAGAACTGAATTTAGAAAAGGGAATTTATAGCTGTATGAAATGATTTGACCATCCACAGGAACTGATGCCCTTCAAATTTAAAATTTCAGTTTTACAAAGAGGCAGCATAGTGTATTAAACCCACCCTACAGTGGGTTGGGTTGGAGAATAGGGAGTAGGGACCATATTAAAAAAGAAGTTGTAATATTGGACAGGGGCTCTAGACATCCCACTTCATTGAGGCTACTCTAAAATTTCCAGGATATGGCTCTACTGCTCGCAAATTATCAACATTTCAACTTGTATCTCTCAATGTATTCACTTCCAAGTTAATAATTAAAATAATTTTTAAAAACACTACTGACAAAATGTAGTTACAACTTTATTGAATTACAGAAGCTTCAGTGCAAAAAGAAAAAAAAAATAGAATAGAGCAGTTTGTTAAAGCAGCTGCTTATCTTCCCAACTCATTTCTGAAGGTGAGATATTACTCTGCATATATTTACATTAAGTTGTAAGAATTTGTCCAAAAAATATGAAATCGTTTCCTATCAGCAAGAAACCAGATTCTATACATAAAATGTGTTTTACCTCACAGAATGCCACTTTTCTTTTACAGGGAGTGTATTATATTTTCCAACAACAAATAATCTCTTATAAAGGAGATGTTAACTACAATGCTACACAACAAACATCTATATTAATTTGCTGTTGCTTTTCATCATATGCTTATTTCAAAGCAGCAAGAATTTGGAGCCAGCAGCAGACAAAAAAACAAACAAAACAAAAACGTATTAGTCTGAAGAATTCAAGTCAATGCCCTCAAAAGTGCACCCAAGATATATAAAATTAAAAAAAATTATATTCCTAACTTTAACAATAATGCAGAGGTTGATTATTTTAGGAGCTTCATTCTACAAATCTGTATTTTAAACAGTCAGAAGTCATGGGGTTTAAGGGCTTCATAATTTGTTTATATATGGTTCAACAAGCGTTACTGTTTTTGAGTCTGTGTGTTTGATCCCCACCCCAGCGAACCACAACTGTCTTCACACAAAAGTCATGACTGCCAGTTAACATTTTGCTCGTAGACATTCTGATTTATGCCTACTCATGCAAGTAGATGTAACACTCTAGAGCAACCGTCCCCAATCTTTCTGGCTTGGAAAGCGGACACGTGGAGCTTCGTGCACATGTGTGAGTGCCCACCGTTTGCGCAGCCTGGTGGTGGGCCACAGCCTGGGGTTGGGGACCTCTTCTGTAGTGGGACCAGTTAAGAAGAGGCAATCTTAATAGACAATTGTACAATCCAATAGGAACACGGATACTTAACTTATTTTTTTTTTCTACCAAGCTTCTTTTTTATTTTAGTTTCAGGAAATACATCTTACTGAAATGGAGGGAAAGCGCTCCGGTGCACTAGATGGACCAAATTTAGTGCACCTCTTGATTTTTCTAGGTAATAATTTACTGTTTTGTTTGTTGAAAGAGAAGCTACTAAATTTGTCTCAAAAACAATGGGCTGATCATTCGTAAGCATTTCAAACTTGCACTATCAACTAGTACTGCCTGCACTTTAGGTTGTGAATGCACATTCATTCAGTATTGGCTACACAGGCATTGGGACTTAAGACCTTAATTATAACATAATTGTGGGCATACCTAAATCATCCTTTTGGAAGGAATGGGATTGCCTTTTGTCTATGGCAGTTTTAAGCCAGCAGCTAAGAATTTATTTGGAAGATTTATCTACAAAATGACTGTTCACAAAAGGGTATCAACAGCTATTTTAATAGAGAGCACTACAGTCCCATGTTTTAGGTTTAATTATCAGCAAGAATGTGTGTTTTTTTTTTAAAAAAAAACCAAGTAATTAAAATCCAGACACACCAGCACTGTCCTTAGTTTACTTACATACACACACACTTATTACTACTCCTTCTCAGAAACACTGAACCCAATTGGCCAATGACTTGGCAGTATGTTCTCATGTATCGCAAAGGCCTACAACTGCAGTTAGAAGTATCAGTAAGTCAAAACAATGGATCCTTCCAGGATAGTAGCACTGCTACTACGCGATTCGTAAAAAGGTACTTGAAATGGAGAGGGAGAAGATCAAGACACTAAGATTTAGCTTTTACTAGCCTAACCCTTGGCTTCCATTTTCTTCCAAGAATGAAAAAAGAGCCGGCCAAAGATGATGCATCTTCTAGTTCCACACATGGTGCTTGCAATGTTCAATAGCCTGGGAGAGAAAAAGAGAAGGAGAGGGAGGGAGAGAAAAGATATGCAAGGCATAATCAGAGGAAACGTGATTTATATATCAAGATTATGCACAGAGTGTCTGGAAGTCATTCCAAAGGATTTCTGGGATTCTATAAAGTTGCTACTTATCAAATATTTACAACTTTTTCAACCAACGCCAGAGTTTTAGCTGGCTCAAAACCTGAGTCTGCCAAATCTAGCCTGGAAAAAAAAATCTAGATAATCGGTAGATGGCAGGAAAGAGACAGAAAACCATAATGCTTTGATGCCATCTAGTGGTCTGAATTTCCCACAGTTCAGCTCTGATAGCCTAGCCACAACTTGGGTCCATCTAGCTTGCAACTTACCTTTCTTGCTGTACACTGAACCATGAATTCCAGTTTATGCTATAATAATCACAAACTAATGAAGTCGACCCCTTATGAACAATCCTACTTGTGTTAGCTTAAACCATGGGATTTACTCCAAAGGGGGAGGGAGCTGTTCCAGAGGTGGAATGAGGGCCATTTTATTTCATTTTTAATTTTATCTCATGTTCCAGCCAAATGTGGCACAGTAGTTAATCGGGAGTGTCAAACTGGTGGCGTCACGTGACGTATTGCAACTTTCCCCCCCTTCGCTAAACTGGGTGTGGGCGTGGCCAGCACGTGACACATCTGGCCCATGGGCCGCGAATTTGACAGCCCTGCCCTAGATGAAATTATGGTAAACATTTTGTCCTGCTATACTGTGACCAAATAAACAAGTAATAACATTTTCCTCATTCATCCATAGCTTGACTTTGGGCAAGATTAGTTTGCTAGTACAATACTAAAGCAAATCAAGGAATTGCAAAGAGGGGCTGGCATTATCTATAGAAATTATTTTACTCTCACCAGGCTTTCTCTCCATTTCAATATCACTCTAGAATGTTTATATCTAGTATCACGTATTTGGGGTTCTGATGATGTACACTACCCATCCTGCTAGCCTACTCAATTGATAAAAATGTCACTAGATTTGATCTTCTCCAGACTACCCAAGGCAGGATTACATTACACGAATTTATGACTTCATGATCTACTCCCAGAAGCTAGTTGATTCCAGAGATGCTGGACAACTTTCCAGTTTACATGCAGGTGCTTCTCTTGAAGCCTAGATTAAGATCCAGGAAGCCATGGACAATGGAGATGACCTGGCCATATGACAGGACTGATTCTGGACATTCTGCATTCTCTTTTGCTATGAACAACCCATTCAGTTTCTTAGTATATCCCTCAGCTGACAACAACAAAGCCAGATTAGAATGCAGATAGAAGAAAACTCATATTTGAGGGAACAATTGCTCAGAGCTCATTACTGAGTTTATTCAGTATACAGACAATGGAAGAGAGGCAGAAACATTTCATGCTTTCACTATTGCATCCTGCTCTGGTACTCTCTCATGTTGGAGGATGTGATGGACAATTCTTTTCAATGGCAATATTGTAGCTTTGGAATGAACTCTCCAGTAAAATATATCAGGTGCCACATTTTTTATGTAGTTAAATGGGTTTTTATTCTCAAAGGCATTTTTAATCCACAAATGTGTTCATTTTAAACACATTTGTTGTTTAGAAACCTTTTTAATTACTCAGGATTCTCTATTTACTTGTTTTGGTGTTACAGCCTTCTTCAAAAAGGCAGAAACTATAGGTTTTTGTGGCATTCACAAATCCCAATCCCAACAATTAATTTTAGGTGTATAAACTGCTTCCCTGCTGTGTCACTTAGCACTGGATCTTGCCCATGTCTTCCAGTAATGCACCTGTCTTGTAGAAAACCTCTTCCCATATTAGCTGGCATAAGGAAATGCTGCTTGCTAGGTTTCTGTCTCTACCTACATGCCTGCTCAGAAGTATATAAAAATACTTACATTACACTGAGTTGCAGTTTCCATGTTCTTACACCAATACCCCGGTCCTCGGACACAGAATTCCGACCCCAAAAGAGGTTTAGTGGATGATGTACAAACTCCAAGTTTCTATGAAGTGAAAGATAGTAATTGCAGTTTATTGTTTCACTATAATAAAAGTGTGATCAGTCCGTTCATTTATTAGCATTTCTACAAAGAATGCTAAAGGAACCAAAGAAAACCCTATTGTTACAACTGACAAGTTATGCCTTGGTTGAACATAAGGGTCAGAAAATAAGATAGGAACAAACCCCCGTTTTTCAAAGGGCATTTTAGCAACATCACCAGCACCTCATTCTTATTTTGCTGCTTTAATTTTGCATTTGCACTTTGGATTACATCAATCCAGAATAAAAGAATCACTTTAAGATAAACTATTATTGAGTTTTATTTGATACTTGCTAGTCCATAAATAGCTTTGAGTTGTAATAGTGGATACCTAAGCATATAAATGCCCAGTCAATATTTATTTAATGGTACATATACTGAAGTGTAGTTCATAAGTAAATATTCTAACTTGTGGTACTTACAGTGCACACAAAAGTAGGATCCATTATTTCTGCGAGAAGCTGAACAACGGTTGCCTCATACTGCTGCACAAACTGGACGCACTGTTTATAAAAAATAAAACATCAGTGAGAAATGGAATAGGATCCTCTACCAATTGATCATGTAACTCAGATGGAAACTCTTGAATTTAAGAGCCTTTTGTTATATCGAGTGCTATCTAACCAAAGCGACCATTGATTTCAATGAGATATTTGATATGTGTTAGATTCTCACCGTTAAATTGCAGACCTAATCTAACCAAATAACATATTGGTCACAAAGTTAAATACATTCGCTCATTTAGGGACCAGAATCTGGTCCTTCAATAGGAAATGAAATGGTTGTAAAGGAACATGTATGTGTGAGAGAGAGAAAGAGACACAATGAAGATTGCTAGTTCTTCCGTACAGTGTCCTGTGCCTGATTCATTTTCCCCTCTTTTTTGCCGGACAAAGAGATTACTTAAACAAGCTAACTTTTCCTGGGCTACTTTTCTCCACTGCATATCATTTCCCTAAAAAGTAATAATTATAAGTTTATTAACAAGCTCAGCTCTGTGACTGCATTTACAGGTAGACCTTGTGTAATGATGACTTGTTCAGTGACTGTTAGACGTTATGATGGCACTGAATCAGGGGGACGTATGACCTGTCCTTGTAGTTGCAGCTGTTGCCAGCATTCCTACAGTTACGTGATTACCATCTGCAACCTCCACTGCCAGCTTCTGATAGGCAAAGCCAATGGGAAAGCCATGCAGGAATACTAACAATGGCAACTAGAACTGCCAGAATTGCTATTGTGCGAGGTCATGTGACATTGGCCTTTAGAACTGTGTTGCTTAGCAACAAAGTTCCAGGTCCAATTATTGTTTGTAAGCAGAACTGCCTATGGGTGATTAGAACCTTGGCTCCTGCCTGAAATTAACCAGACCTCGGTTTCAAACTGAAGGCTTTTGATAACAGGCCATAAAATTTGATGGTACATACTGCATTGTTTCTGAGTTTTATTGTTATTACTGTCATATTTACAAACAATCACTAAGCAAGGAATGACTGTGTACAGAATGGGTATAGAAGTATATAAGTGATAATGCATCCAATGATTTTTGAGACAAATCCACAGGAGTATCATATAGGTGAAAAGCAAAGGAATATTTCAAACTCTAAGCATCATGCTTGTAGCTTGCAACTTGAGAATTTACGTTATGAAATACAAACAGCACCTCACTACAACTTCTTTTAAAGCAGAGAAGTGATCTGCTCCTCAAAGAAGCAACCCCAATGTTACAGCTCAAAGCAACTGTTTAAAAATGTAATCCTTAATATGTTAAGTGTCAACATAACAGATCAGCAATCTAATTAAATGGTCTGTTTTCACAACACTATGCAATTATTTGAAAGAACCCAACTCTACCACGCTGGAACTTAAGATGTCCAGCTTGACACTGGTTGTGGAGGTCATTACAAAGCAGCAATCCTTTGTAACCTTATTCTTTGTTTTCACAGATTAGCTTTTCAGAAGAAGTCATTCACAGCACTGCAGTTTTAACACAAAAAAGCACATTAATTACCTCGTCACTAACAGACTCCGGTAAATAGTGGCAGACTCGTTCCAGAAACATTTCAATCTCAGCAGTGGTAGCATTCTTTGCTAGTTCCTTGTCTGCATAAGCAACGATCATCTTGCACACATCACAGATACTTCCCAATTCTGACTTCACTGGAACAATTTCTTCTGAGGGTACAACAAAGCAAAGCTGTTTATGTTGAGTTAATGTTTATATTTACATAAATGAACAAACAATTTGCAATACCGGAAAAGCAAAATCCAAATCAAACATAGAAGCATTGATTATGTAGCAAAAGATTATTTAAGTTCTCACCATCTGGTAAAATGTTGTTTTTGCAACATCTCAGCATCACACACACCATTTTAGGACTAGTAGCTTCCAACAACATGTCAAGAATAGACTTCCCATAAACTTCCACAAAGTCCTTGCACTCCTCTCTGGTTTTTTCAGGTAGCACTAAACAGACTTTCTCCATTCCTTCTATCATCTCCTCCTAGTACAGACAAAGGTTGAGATACGTTCAGTCATCACAAGTCTTCTAGGCATTTGCTAAAACTAGCAACATGCAAAATTAGTATAGTGGATTTCAACAGCACATTGAAATGCAGCTTTAAAAATCGTTATTTACAAAACATGCATATATTGAATAAAATAGGTATTGATTTTGTATCATAAGAACACTGCAAGATGAGCTCCTTGGGTGAGCCTCATCCATATATAGGATGCCACTACAAAGAAAGCCATTTTGTCAGAAGCCACCTGTCCTCATTTGATCACACTAGATGGAGCCCAGCTCTTGGAGAGCAAACTGTATTATAGAAGATGATATTAGCGGTCTAGTTTATTTCATGCATACCTCCGTCTTATTGCTTTCCAGAAGGCTGGCCACCTCTTCTACCATGATAGTACATACTTCACAGAGAGAGAATGCTTCCTTTTGACTCGGATTGGTCTATACAATTCAGAAAAAAAGAATTATTTGCAGTAGTTATTACCTGTACTACAAGAAACCAAGACATTGACAGCCACAATGAAACAGTAGTTAGGGCGTACTCTGAAGTATATATTGGGTCACTGGAAATTGAACCTGACAAGAAAGGGTTACCTCACTAGTTAAGAAGGCAAAGCTAAAACTTCCTCCTGTAGCCCGAAGGAACCACTCTACTTAACATATTCTGACTTCAGTATTTGCTATTCAATTATTAACCATAAAATTAGCAACTACTATAGTATCTGTACAATAATTAGCACAATGCAGTAAAATAATTTAGGTGTCATCCCATGGGCTACTTCATTTCTTTCTAAATCAGGGCAGGACTGCAGAGCCCTCCTTCTAGTGTCCAGAAACGTAATTCCCATTAAGCCAAGTTTCCATTCTCACACATTTCAACATGAAAAGAATATTATAGCAGCAGTATTCCCACAATGGGCCAATATATGATGGCACTCCCTGTAACCTCACTGAAGATAAGTCCATGTCCAAAAGGAGCAAACTTTTATCTATTTGATAGTGCTTTATAAGGACTTGCATTACAAATATCTATTAATGGTAACCATTGCCATTATGGCTGTTGACAAAGACTCTACATTTATGGGGTCTGCTGTCAATAGGAAGGAAGGGCTGCTCTTCCTGGTTACACATACCAGGTAATATATTCTTCAACATTCTGCTAAATGTGAAACAGGAAAAAAAATCATTTTATTTTGTAAGAGACAAACAATTGACCCATTATCTCTCTGAGGTCTTTTAAGGGTGTATTGTCAGTGTCTTACTGCAGCCCCAGCTTGAGCCAGAGGCATTCATTGGAGAAGCTTCGGCTTGGGCAGAAGTTCGGAAGCACACTCATTTGTGCTAGGTGAAATATGGAATTGGCCTGAGTTTAAAGCAGGAATCTGGCCTGAAAACCACTTCATTCATCCATCCATCTGGAACAAACAGATCTCCATTGGGAGACACCCCTGGAGTCCAACTTTTCAAGTCAAGGTTAGCAAAACGGCTGACCGCCAAGAAAAAAATATTAATGATATTTTTTTAATGATACCAATGGTCAAGGCCCATGGAAAGAAACTAAATCATTGGAAGTCAGAGGAGGGGATCAGAGGAGAGGAGAGTACAAGCAAGCAGTGGTCTAAGGCACCCTGTTATTAAGCTGGTTATTAAGACCAGATGCCTGCAATTACTGCAGGTTCGAATCTCACCAGGCTCAAGGTTGACTCAGCCTTCCATCCTTTCTAAGGTAGGTAAATTGAGGACCCAGTTGTGGGGGCAATAAGCTGACTTTGTATAAATATACAAAAGAATGAAGGCTATTGCTTAGCGCATTGTAAGCCGCCCTGAGTCTCCGGAGAAGGGCGGCATATAAATCAAATTAAAAAAAAAAAAAAAGCACACCAAGCCACCACAGATAGTCTGCTTGTTCATACAGCAGTTTATATCTAGCCTCCCTCTCCAGCCGTTAGGAAGCCCAAAAGGTCAGGGACCCCTAATGCTGGTGCCTTCAGTTTTTGCCCCACCAGGGAGGTCAAGTCAACTGAGAGATCTTGATGGTAATTATTTCGGGGCCAAGATGGTCTCAGTGGAAGACTAGCCAAGATTAGACTCTTAATAGCCCGTAAAAGCCATTCAGAAATTGCTTTGTTCAATTTTCAGGCTACCATGAATTTCAGCGCATTGTTGAACCTTGTGACAGGATGTCCAGGCATTTGTGATGAAAATTTTATATTTCTGGATCTTTTTGTTCTATTTCATTTTATTCTAACTGATTAAAATTCATCAGGAGGTTCCTTCTGTGATTGTTTCTTAGATTTTCTCTCCTTTACCATCTCCAGGCTTCTGATCTCTCACATAAATCCATAAAAGTAATCACATAAGTTAGAGCTTTTCACTATTTGAGACGCTCATATCCTTCTTGCTTCGGTAAAGTGACATGCAGATAACTAAGTACCAAGTCTTACCTCAACTGGCTCAACTGGCTTTATCTTTGCTGGAGAGATAAGTTTAGCAGGCACCAGAGCTTGGAGGGGTACAGATTTCAGGGAAGAACATAATCCTATCATGTTACAAATTTCCTGTGGTTGCTGAAGACATAAAACACCAATGTAAGTTACTTCTATAGTCTACAAGGTAGCAAATTAGTTTTAATATCACTCTAATTTCATCAATGTAAAATCAGCCCCCGACGCCATGGAATAGTATAGATGTTATTATTTCTACAGAAAATTTAAAAAAATGCATTTTGTTTTAAGCCCAAAACATGGTGTGTCTCTGAAGTTCTGTCAAACTGTTCCAGATAGGTGGTGGTTCAAGTAGAACCAAAAGACAGAAAGTTTTTTTTTTTTTTTTCAGGTTTCAACCAAACTAAATCCATGCTGGTCCTACAAAATGGACCAATTTTGCTTCTTTCCTCTCCTCTTTCTATGTGCAATCAAAAAACAACCTCCCCAGTCTACTTTCCTTAGATCTGCCAGCCATGACTGTTGATTGTTCTTGCTTTCAATCTCCCTGAAACACTTTTCCTTTCAACATGATGCCTCGGTATATGCCCAAAAGAAAAATGCATGCTTTTGTCTGGATATGGACCACTTGGAAACTAGCTGTAAATCTGAAAAAAGTGGTTCACATATAGCTTGTTTTCTATATCCTTAGATGTTATGTATGCTTTCAGGTTGAATTTTATTCATTTTTGGCACTTCTACTCCACAGCAGAACAAATTAGCTTTAAATTTAATCAAACAACTTATTTCAGCAACTTGCATGGGTCCACAATTGATTTTTTTTTAACAAAGCTAAATACTTTAGAACAAATAAAAGTGTAGATTATGCGCTCTTCCTGATGTTTCATAAGTGTCCCTTGGTGCAGTATTTTTTTAAAAAATGTACTTCAATGAAACATGAGTGTTCTATAGATACATGCAGTCATTTCACTAAATTCAAGCACTATTCTGGCTAGAGAAGACGACAATTTCTAGCAGTCATTCAAGTGCCATACAAAAGACAAACCCCAATTTCCTTTCAGTTAATATTTCACATTAAAATAGTTTTAAAAGTCTCTAATTTATAACCATGCAGGAAGAGGAGGAGGATTGATTATCGATGAGAAAACAATGGCTACAGTTTCTGCAACATTCCTGACTAAAAGCCTCACTATAATCTGGCCTGGCTGTTGCAAATAACAATTCAGCAATATCACAGGGTTCCCTGTTACACTACAGCCAAACTAAGCCAGTTACAAGTAGTCCTCAACTTACAGCCACAATTGAGCCCAAAATGTCTGTTGGCAAGTGATACAGCTGTTAAATGAGTTTTGTTTTACCACCATTTTACCACCTTTCTTGCCAGAGTTGTTAAATGAATCACTGCAGTTGTTAGTAAGACAGTAATTAAGTGCATCTTATTTCCCCATTGACTTAGCTTGCCAGAAGGTTTCAAATGGTGGTCACATGACCCCAGGGCACTATAACCGCCATAAATATGAATCAGTTGCCAAGCATCTGAATTTTGATCACATGACCATGGAAATGCTGCAACAGCCATAAGTGTGAAAAACATCATAAGTCACTTTTTTCAGTGCCGTTGTAAATGGTCAAAATGGTCACTAAACAAGCTGTTGTAGGTCGAGGACTACCTACTCAAATGTATACATTTCAAAATTTCCCGATCACTTCTGAACGCAAATATGGCCCACATACTAAAGAAATATAAGTCAAGAGTGTATTCATACGATTTCAAGAGTTCGCATAATTGCTAAATACCTGTAGCTGCTGCAGCTGTAGTTTCATCTTTTAGAAATGTCTCATTGGTTTATATAACTTTATACCTGTTAATCCTTCATAAAAGAGTTGGCTGTCCCAAGAATTCCCTCCTCTGCAGTTAGCTTAATATCTGCAGGAATAATTTTAACTCCTCCTACCTTCTCCTACCATAGCAAGTAAAAACAAAATTTAACTAGAAGGGAGCATATTCTTTAACTAAATAAACTACATAATTCTTTGGTTTATTTTGATCACTGGTGTCAAATCTGAAAACTACACAAGTAGCTTGTCATTTGAAAGTGATTTGGAATAAATGCTTCCTTCAAGGGAGTTTAGAGACCTGGCTCTTCATGGGCCAGATCACTATTATATCCACCTGGTCTGTCGTGAATTCTCAAAAGTTTTAACCACTGGTATAGTCATCTTTATAGTTGCTAATTTTATTTGGTTATGAACTGCAACGTCTACAGAAATCGTTAACAGCTGGTTTTGGTTCCTGTGATGATTCTCTTTTTTTCTCCCCCAGAGAAACCAGGAGAACAAATTGGAAGCATTCTTTTCTGTTTGGGTAACTAGTTTGCTGTAATGTCTGATCTCAAATTGTGATTTTTGACTAAAACAGTTTTGGCCACAAACTAATTTATCAGGTCTGAACCAAATGACAAGCTACAATTAATCTGACAGCAGTGAAAACTTCCTATGACTTCTTCATTAATAAAGGAAATAACAAGAAAAGGGATTTTGTAGGGCCATTATCTCATCCATAGCTATGGATAACTGTAATATTCTGAACAGGTTTATTAAATAGGACTTATGAAAGATATGAGAACCTGTTTTGATGTAGTGGTTAAAACATCAGGCTAGAAACTGAAAGATTATGAGTGTTAGTCCCACCTTAGGTACAAAGCCAGTAATCTTTGGCCAGTAACTCTTTCCTAGGCTTAGAAAGCAAGCAATGACAAACAGTTTTGGAAAAAGCCCTGTCAAGACAACTCTTAATGGCCTAGTCTAGCTACTACCAAGAATAAAAAACTGACTCAAAGGCAGAAAAGATAAAGCATTTAGCTCTTATAAACAGAAGGTAACGGTAGTTTAGAGAATGAGTATCAAAGCATGCACTTTCCCCAAACGTTTTCTTATGAAAGCATATCACAGTTATATACAAGAGTTCCCAGACCATCTTTGAAGTAGTTCAATCATTCTATTCTCCCATAACCAAAGAGATGTTTCCATACCATTTACCTACAAAAGCAAATATACTAAAGTATGCCATCTCTATATAAGCCGAGAAATTTCTTCCTCATGTCACTGTTTTCCTCATTAAGGCATATATAAATTGGCAAACAAAACACCACAATCCGAGTTATAAATACATGCAACATGCATTTGCCAAACCAAACCATGACAGGTGCAAGGTCCAAAGAGGTTTATTTAGGAATCTCAGTATCTATTCCCCAATCATATCCTAAAACTATCTTGATCATTATGGCTTCAGGCTTTGTGGAATTTTCTGTGCATTAATTTTAGTTTCAAAGCCAGGTAGCCAAACAGGCTCATAATCTGTTTCAGAATGGCCAAGATTTCATTTTAGGCTCCAATATGATTCTTTCCACAGCCACTCTGTCCCTTGAATCTGTCAAAAATATCACACTTATCAACTATATTAGCAAGAGATCAAGCAACACTCTCTAAGTGGAGGGAGTAAGTTTCTCACATACCTGCTCCTGCTGTTGACAGGATGGAGAAAAAGAAACACAAGAGAGTTAAACAATTGGAAAACAATCAAGTATCTAAATGGTTCACACCACAACTTTTCATGCAAGAAGAGGGAAAGGCCAATTAACAATAGAATGATTATTTTTGCAAAATAAATTTTGCTCAATATTTATGCTTTCTGAATAGGCATAGACATTTGAATGCCCTATGAAAAATGTTGTGTTGCAGTCAACCTAGTATGATTCCCGGTATAAATATCATTTTGTCCTTGCTGCCATATTCCTACAGAGATCTTCAATATAAATAATCTCAAGAATTTTTAAAAAAATGGAGCCTGGTGGTACAACATGATAGTTAGCCCTTAAACAATTAGATAATTAATCCAAAATGACTTTTGATGCTATCAGACCTAGTTAAGACATTTGCTATAACTCCAATGTCAGATTTTTAATATATTTTTGGAGCAAGATAGTAAAATATAGGCAATGTGAATCTTACCATGTGCATGATCATCTGAATAGCCAAGGAGGAATAATCAGTAATGTAGCCTTTGCACTATTAAAGAGAAAGAGAGACATTGGAGATGGTTATTATTACACAAGCAGCAAAATATGCCAGCCACATATAATCACTGTATTCCTTATTATGTCAAAGAAATGTACTGACTTCTTCAACAGAAGCATTTGGGATATACCGTATTTTCCAGCGTATAAGACGACTGGGCGTATAAGACGACCCCCGACTTTTCCTGTTAAAATATAGCGTTTGGGCTATACTGGCTGTATAAAACTACCCCTCTTCAAACGCACATCAAATAAAAATTAAAAAAATCAACTGGCTCACCCACAATGTAAAAGCAGCTGTGCTAGACCCAAAATGGCCCCTGCAACAAGCAGGAACCTCACACAGCCACAAAAAGCCCAAAAACCCAACTTTCACACTTTACAAACACAAAATTCCACATACAGCTTTGAGATTTTGTGTGTTTGTATAGTTAGAGTGAAACACTACAGAAACACACTAAATCTCAGAAAGCTGCACAAATATTATTTTATTTTATTTTTATTTTTATATGAAAGCTAAATTTAAAACTTCCTAAACTTTAAATGGCTAGGTCTAAAAAAGAACAACCAAAAAAAACCCCCAATTAACTATTTTTTTTAAAGCTCCCAAAGGGGAAAAAAACTTACCCATAGAACAGGGGTCTCCAACCTTGGCAACTTTAAGACTTGTAGACTTCAACTCCCAGATTTCCTCAGCCAGCTTTGCTTTGCTGGCTGAGGAATTCTGGGAGTTGAAGTTCACAACTCCCTGCCTGCTTGATTGCAGGCAGGGAGTTGCTTGCTGATGGAATGGATTCAGGCAAGCGAAGCAAGGCAAGCGTTGCGACTAGCAGCTAAGGTAAGCAAGCTGGAGGGGGAAAACTTTTTTCCTTTTACATGACTCTGGCGATCCAAGCTGAGTTGCCTGATTAGCAGGCAACTCAGCTGGGATGGTCAGAGCTTGGCTCGTCAGAGCCTTTCGGGCTGGTCTGCCTGGTTACAGGAGAACGACACCGGGCGTATAAGACGACCCCCGACTTTTGAAAAGATTTTCATGTGTTAAAAAGTCATCTTATACGCCGGAAAATACGGTATATACATTTTTATCTATACAATATGGAGGGAGGCATACATAATTGCATCTTGCATTTCTCTCATGACAATTAGGATATTAAATAGTGACAGCTCATCCAAAGTTATTCTGTAATACAAGCCTAGATTCAAATTTACACAATCCCCTTAAAGTGGTCCTTACACATTCTGTACAGACTGTAAAATTTACTTCACATAGTCAGAATCATATTTTATATTTATATTACTTTTAAATATGGCACCTTAATTTCTAAATTAAACAAAGCTGGGGAAATTAAAATGCCAATCCATATACTGTATTTCCCACATAATAAATAAATAAATATTTATTAAATAATATAAAGTAAAAATTACCACTTCAGACAGGGCAGGACCCAAACGTTCACACTCTTCCTTGGCATGTTCAATTAAAGAACTAACAAAAGTTGAATTGTTCCTCACAGCATCTTGAAGATCTGTCACCAGCTGAACACAGTCATTACACACATTTCCATTTCCCTGCAGGTAAGCATGAAGCAAATGGTAACTTAATATAATGTCACAACATGAGATGGCTATATAAATTTTAAAAAAATTAATATTGGGTTACACACTCTCTGCCTTCAGGCATTAGAAAACACTTTCTGTAAAATCTGCTGACAATTCATTGCTGGTGAGATTTTGGATGAAATTTAGTTATATTGAGTAGTTCAGGCAATTTTACCCTGCAACATTCTGACCTGTGCCATTTCTTTTTCTGTATCACTGCATTAGGTACTTCTAACAAGGTTTAGTAAAGTTATACTGGGAATAGTGATATGTTTTATTCAAAATCAGCACTATTAAGATTTCTAAAACAAGAATTCAGAGGAAAAACATATAGTCTTATTGCTCTGGATCATATTTAATAATGGATTTTATAGATGCATTATGTTTACTTATTTTCCATTTACTTCTCAAAATACTGAGTTAACCACAATTGTTTATATTTTCTTGAGTTTCCCTAAAGTTATTCCCCTTATCCTTTTAATTGGTTCAGTTACAATGCATGATATAAGGACTAAACAATCATAGTTTTTGCATTAACACCACATGAAGGCTGTGAGAAATATACATGATTAACCCACATGTTTGCATATTGAGAGTTCCTAATTGCTTTTGATTAAGGTAATGGGTTTAGGGTTTAGACTAGAGAAAGAGTTTTCGATTTGGATATTTATGAATTTCTTTATTCAACTGTCAGCAAGATTAAAAGTTAATAGCAATTTACAGATGTTATTGTATCTATGTTATTAGTAGCACCAATAGCCCATTTGCAGTTTTAAATTCCCACCTTAGGTTCTTTCTTAGGTTTATCCTGAGGATAAAGAAGAAGTGGCACATTAGCCATGAAAGGAGATGCCAGTTCAGAGAAATCTAGTTCTGGAATTTTGTTGGACTGGAGCTGATTTTGTAATTTTACTTCTGCCAGGTGATTCTGAAGAGACTGACATAGTGTGAGTGCACTGCATACAACTTCAGGGTTCTCCTAAAGAGTAGAAAATAACACAAATTTACTTGCTTTCACCTATAAATGCAACAGAAACTGTGCAGCTAAGTACCCCTGAAAACCAGATTATCAAATCTTCCAGAAATCATTACTTATTATTGCACATTTTTTTCAAATATTCCTTTTGCAATGAATTTTGGAATATTGGGTTAAGTAAGAAAAATGTAAAATCCACTAATTTTGTCCAGTTTATTTTTAAAAATTATAAAATCAGTTGCTTCTGTAGCATTAGTGAATACTTACAAGTTCTGATTTGACCATTTCCATAATATTTGGCAAGTAAGACTCCACTATGTCCTTGCACTGCTCTACCAGGTCGGATTCAGGAAGAAATTCACAAATTTTTTTGAAATATTCATCTATTTCTTCCTATGACAGAAGATAGACAGGTTGGTATAAACATAAAGGAACATTTTCCCATCTTTCTCATTCAGGAAGAATACTTAATTCCTAAATCACATTAGAGAGATATGAGCAACATTTTTGGGTTGGATGTCACAATGCTTGCTTATTGGTCAGTAGGCCACAAGAAGTCTTCTAGCGATGTGGTATATTAAAAGAGGAGGCAAGTCTGAAAATTTTCAACCTTCTTAACATAATTTTGAAAAAAATCCAAAGACAGTAATGGGAGCATTTCACCTAAAAGTTGCTTTGCATTCCTATTCCTATTCTCATCTTTGAAACAGAAAACGTTACACCCAAACTGGTTATTTTGCCATTAAATTTTGATTACATGATTTTAGCTATATATTACCTATCTCTGCTATAGATTCTTTGCTGGGGGCATTAGTACTTTCTACAAAAAGTAACATTAAATGCCCTGTGAAAGTAAGCACAGGCAAAGCTTTACAAAGCATCATATAAATATTCAGATGATTTAGCTTTTGTCATCAGCAGGAAAAGCAGAGATATGTTTGCATAGCTGATGATAACTCTTTTATTATGCAATGGAAGGATTTAAAGGAATTTTTATACTGTATATTTGATTAATATCTTTCTAAGCATGAGCTCATTTTTGTACTATTATGAAAAAATATAGGCCTAGGAGCTCCCACTAAGAATGAACACAATCCAACATTGGCATTTTAATATCAAAATACCCCTTCAATTTTAGGAAATGCATTCATGTAAACCTTGGTTGAAAGGCATGTATCAACATAAGTGGGGTGCTCCTATTTTTAGATCCTGCACTTTACTTCTTGAATAAAACTATTGGAATATTTTTTTAAAGAAAAGAATTCTTACCATTGTATCATTGCTCTTTAAGAGTTTCCCAACCACTCGTACAATTTCTTTACACAAGTCACAGGGAATACTCTCCTGAGGAGAAAAAGAACTTTTGATAAATAAAATGACTTATAATTTTTAGACATATAAAGTATAATTTAATGAAAATCCAGTTTAGAGAGTCTTGCTGCAGATGCTACTTAGGTTTACAGTGTTATTAAAGTCCACATGCTAGCACAAACACATTACATGAAGGTTCCTAACCTTTCTAGGCCAATGCTCCAGAGGATATTGAAAATGTTCCTTAATATAATTTTATTAATGATTTTGAAATGGAACTTAAGAATGAGTGCAAACTAATATAAAGTAAGAAAAAAGAAAATAAAAAGAAATCAAAGTGAAAGCTAAAAGTGCGGGGGAGGGAGGGAGATCAACAAGTAGTTCCCAATCTTCTTTACAATAGTTATCAGTACAATGGTAAATTTACCTCTTGCTCTATTGGTTACAACATAATTCTCTTCTTTCCATAGTTTATTATATCTAATAATCAAAACCATAAATCATAAGTTCATTTTTCCTATCTTACACAAATAGTCCACAGGGAATTTCCAATCAGCAATAAATATAGATATTTGTCTTTTCTCTGATTAAAGAAGTCAATTTAGTCATCTCAACAATTTATATCATCTTTAGCAACCATTCCTCCATCATGGGTAGTGCCAAGACACCAAAAATGTTCTCACGAGACACTAACAAGGGATTGTCTGTTCAGAAAATGATTACTAGAAAAAAAGAAATTCAAAATACAACAGTAATCACCAGAAGTTATGTTTTTTTTCATTGTCTTGTCAGATAAACCTTGTCTCATTTTTTCATCAAGTAGCTAACACTGTACTTTATGGGACCGCAGATTGAGGGATATAATATGTATTAATTTCAATAAAGCTTCTGACAAAATATCCCACATTCTGATTAATAATCTAATTAAATGGGGTCTCAATGTACAAAAGATGGAATAAATTAACTATTCTAGATATACTGGAGTATACTTTCTACTCTCCTACTGCCTTGTTAACTTCCTGATTTTTTGAATTTTATACCTTGATTTTTATCTTTATATGGAAGTTTAACCTCTTTTTAATTCTGTTCTTAATATATGCTTTTATGTATATATTTATATCATTTTATTATGTTGTAAATTGTAAAAAATCACTGAGGTGAGATCGGTGATGTAGAAATTTAACAAATAAAAAATTAAAAAAAAATAGTATTTCTTGTATTGGCACTTAAAGGAACCTAGCAATTATGTTTATTTTTATTTTCCACATACATGACCTGGTGGATATTAATGTAAGTGTACCAGCCATGGTCAGGTTCTGTATGGTGCACAACCTGGCTGAAGTCGTAAGTTCTTTAGAACAGAGGTCCCCAACTGCAAGGCTGTGACCCAATGCCAGACCGCAGCCTGTTCAGAACTGGGCCACAAAAGTGGTGGGTGAACACACGTGTGCATGCAGCTGTATTTGTGAAAGCAGTGTACATATGCACAAAACTATCCCCTCCCTGACGGTCCACGAAGCTGGAAAGATTGGAGACCACTGCATTAGAACAAGTTTGCAGCTGCCTAGATCTATAAAATAGATGCAGCTATTTTATAATTGCTCTTTGCTCTTCAAAGCATGAAACAAGAGCTTGACTAACAATTAGCAACTCTTAGTTGAAAAATAAATTCACTTATTTTTTTTTTTTTTTGTAACTTTCAATCTAACTGAAAGCACGGCATACTTCTATAGTTTTGCTCCTTTTCATTTGTTTTTATTTTCCTTGGGCAATGAGCAAGCAAAAGTAACAGTAAGAATTGAGAATGTAACTAACCAACCAAAACTAGGATCAGAAACAGAGAACTTAAGAGGAGGCTGATATAAAAGGAGCCAGCTCTGTTTCCTTTTGTATCTCCTAAACACTCACTCAAATATTTGATAAATGCCTTTAAACTGATTGGGGCAGATCCCAAACCATCCATTATAAGGAATGCAAGCATCTGCCCTTATGGGCTGCAAAAGCAGCAAACACGATCTACTGTTTCTTTTACAAAAACTACCACAAGTGCATCAAACAACTCCTGCTGCATCAATCTGATCAAGAGAAATTCTGTATTGGTTTACTGGTAAACAAGAAGTATTTTTACTACATACAACGTTGCAAAATTTGGTGCGTTAGCCATTTAGGCCATTTCCATGAACTGGCCACAACTGTTCACTGATCACAATATAATTCTTGTCTGCCCAAGTATCACTGAGTAAAGAGTAAAGCAAGATGTCATGTGATTGCCCATGTGACTGATTCAACTGCAATTTTGGCACTCTTGGTTGCGGTTGTTAAACATAGTTAACTATGTTAAGCATAGTTCCAGGGAAGAATGTGGTGTGCTGGGGGAGGCGGCAGGAGTAGAAAAATTCAAGCAGGATTTTCAGCCACTGAAGAAAAGTTACTTCTGTGCTTATTCCACCAGCTTGAGGCACCCCACACTGTTTAACTTATCCGCCTACCAACTCGCTGCTTTAATTTCAGCTCATTTTGATCTCTACTGTTTCCCAAAAAATACGATCTACTCAGAAAGTCCTAGCTTGATTTTTGCATGTGTGCCCAATATAAGCCCTACCCCCAAAATAAGCCCGAATTAAGACCCCACCCACTCCAGGGTGCACAGATAAAAAATTAAAGCTAGGGAGGGGATGGAGCTGCCCTACTACTTACCTTCGGACAGTTGCAGCCAGGCCTTGCACACCTCAGCCCATTTCTTCTGCAGCCAGCAAGGCTCTCCTGAAGGCCTCTGTAGCCGATAACAGAGCTCCGGATCAATCCAGAGCTCTGTTATTGGCTGCAGAGCCCTTGAGGAAAGCCTTGCTGGTCTTGCTGGATGAAGAAGTTCCTGAAGGCCTCTGATAGTGAAAAAGTGGCCAGGGTGACGCACGCAAGTGAGGTGAGTCTGTCGACGACACCCCCCCCCCCCCCGAAAACAAGACCTGGTGCCTTTTTTGTGGCAAAAAAATGTAAGACAGGGTCTTATTTTCAGGAAAACACAGTAGGAGATCTCCCCTCTGGGTGCAGAGGGCAATGCTTTTGGCGGGGTGCAGAAACAGAGCTCAAGCCTGAGCTCCATTTCTCCATCCCACCAAAGTTCAGCTCCTGTCTACACGAAGAAGGAAACTTCTTTGGTAGGCTGCAAAAACAGAACTAAAATTATCAGCAAAGCAATAAAATAACTTACCACAGTAGGCTTGTTCCACACATTTTGCTGACAATGTTTAACTGCTTTGCAATCAGATGCAGTTCGCAAATTCTGGCACCACACCTGTGGACCTTTTGCACAGTCTTTCTTCAAAAGCAGGGGAGTTGTTAAAGCAACTGAAAATAAAGTATAAATGCATTAGAATGCATTAGGTTATGCGTGTCTAATCTTTTGGTCTGCCTGTGCAACACTGAAGGAATCTTGGCCGCATATAAAATATATAATACAGTTAATGTAAATCAAAAAAGTAAAAGGAAGTATGTTATTTATATTTTTAATTATGATCTTGTGGGGTTGCATTAGAAGCTATCCAGGGCTGCAGGCTGGACATGCCTGCATTACATTTAATTCCAGTTTCATGCTATTTATTTTATTAGGCTTAAACAGATGCAGCCAAAAATATCGGTACCCCAAAGAATCACAATTTGCCATTCTCTACTCTACAGTCCCGAACAGACACTTTGCTTTTGAAGTATGATGTAACATTTTCTTGTAAATAATGGCAAATAAAAATGGCACTTTTGGGCACGTCTTAGAAGTTAAAAAGACATTATTGGAGTTTAATGATCTTTCAAGACCATATAATTAGTGTCTTAGATGACTTCAAATAAGTCAATCATTCAGCCTATTTGAAGAAAAGTATTCAATCAGCCATTTTGTATAGCATAGTGAACATGGGCAAGAGAAAGAAAAAGAGAAAGTCTGGGGAGAAAAGGAGAAAGTAATAGCCAAGAACGGTAAAGGCTGCAAAATGATTATCAATGCACTTCATGTTCCTGCAACCATGGCCACTAATATTATCAAGCAGTTAACCTCCCTAGATGTGGCTGCAAGAGGAAAATTGATCCCAGGTTGAACAGAACACTTAGTGTAAGTGTTCTGTTCAACCTGGGATCAATTTTCCTCTTGCAGCCTAATTTTCCTCTTAACTAATAATATAGACATATTATTAGTAGTCATAGTCATAACTAATAATAGAGATATTATTATCAAGTCATGTTATCTGTTGCCATTTGATTGAAAGTGGCGTCCATGGTAGAAGAGCCTAATTCTGAAAGACGGACATAAAAAAGCCAGTCTGGAGTTTGCTAAAATATATATTGACAAGCCACAGTACTTCTGGAACAATGTCCTCTAGACAGATGAAACCTTTTGGGTAAATCACAGCAGCTCTGTTCATAGAAGAAAAAACAATTCTTTTAAAGAAAGTAACACCATCCCTACTGTGTAATATAAACAAGGTACCATAATGTTAATGGGGTTGCCTTGCTGTTTCCAGCACTGAGTGCTTCAAATCTATGTAAAACACAATGAAATCACAAAGATTAGCCAGGCATTTTGGAACAAAACATAACTCTGTCACGGGTATGGGCCTTCCAACAGGATAATGACTCAAAACATACAAAAATGGTTGAAAAGCAAACATTGGACTCATCTAAATTCACCTGCTACAAATCTTAATTTGAATCCAACAGAATATCTATGACAGTGGTGGGTTTCAACCAGTGTTACAAATGGTTCGCTTCGCACACGTGCTTTGCATTTCAGAACAGCTGAGGCACAGCAATCAGCTGGGCTAAAAAAGAACGAATATAGTAGGTATAGGGCAGGGGCGGGCGGTAAGGCCCCGTTGACGGTCGGAGCGAACCGTTTTGCTGAGCTCACTATCGCCACTACTGGCTCGCCCGAACTGGGGTGAACCGTTAGAAACCTACCACTGATCTATGGAAAAATCTGAAACTCACAGTTGGGAGAAGGAACAAACTTAAGACAACTGGAGTAGTTTGCTGAAGATGAACGGGAGAAATTGCCAGTTGAGAATTGTATATTCAGAGCTATAGAATGTATTTGATTGTCTCAAAGGGGTGTGCTGCAAAAATATTAGGTTAGGAATTCCAATAATTATGGCCATGTCATGTTCATTTGTTATTTACAAGAGTATGTTAAATCATACATCAAAAGATTGGTGTCTGCCCTGTGAAGAACGATGAATGCTGTTTACTTGGGTCAGTTTCAATTTATTGCCTAGCAAATTGGAATTCTTTGGGAAAAGATGAGTACCAACATACTTGGCTGCATCTGTTGCCACTAGGAACCATAACTGAGCAGTTACAGATCAACAGCAGAGTGGCATGATTTAGAATACAGTAATATGCAAAAATCTCTTAGCAATAACAAAGAACTAATCTATACATATAAAGTTGAATTCCAGGATGTTTTTTCCCCAGTATTTGCAATCAACAAATCTAAATTTAAAGACAAAACAAAAACAAAAACATACCATCAATAAGGATATCTTGTATTTCTATGGACAGGAGAAAATTTATTGGCTCATGTTCATTAGGAATGTTAATCTTGCTCAAGAATCATAATTTTACACATGCTATACTTGAATCTTCGTCTCTATTCCTTGTTTTTTTAAAACAGTGCCAAATTTGCATAAATATACAATGCAATTTTTAGACTTATTGCATAATTGCTGCAATTTCATTACCCAAGGCTAAACTATTTAAAATTACTAAAATGTGTAGGTGGATAATCTGAGGAATAGTATGTGTTCTGTTTTCTAAGTAAGAAAATAAAGACTGCATTAAAACAGTTCTTGTTCTTTTTCTTTTTCCTTCCATTCAATCAAGGCCAATTCTTAGAAACTGCCTGGGCAAGCCTCTGCAGTTTTCTTGGCAATGTCTTTCAGAAGTGGTTTGCCACTGCCTTTTTCCTAGGGCTGAAAGTGGTCAGGCCAAGGTCATCCAGCGGGCTTTGTGCCCAAGACAGGCTAGAACTCACTATTCCCCAGGTTCTAGCCTGATACCTTTAACCGCTACAGCAAACTGATTCTCAAGTGCTTCTTTCTTTCTTTACGTTTCACTACATTCCATAAGCCTAGTTGAATTTTTTAAAAGCACGATTAAGCAGTTCAGCTTTTCCTTGGAGTTTTTTCAAGTGGATCAACTGGATTCATCCAACTGTGGAGGTTACTGAATGACTTTAGGCTTGTTATTCTCTCAACCTATCTCATAAAATTGTTGTGGGTGATAAAATTAACTGATAGGAGTGCAATCAATTAGCTTTTCATCACCTTTAAGTCAAGGATGACTGAATCACAGTAATAATCACCTGAAGGATTGAATTAAGGATGAACACACAAACATCAAGGAAATTATGGTTAGCAATCTGCTTCTAGAACACAAACAACTGAATCCTCCAGGGTAATTTCTGAACACATGAATATACTTATTCCTCCCACCCCCCTCTACACACACACATATATATTTTGGTTCTCAATATGCCAAAACGGAGTAAAACCCCATGTATCAACATTCAAATGCTACCAATTCCCAAGCTATACAGTACTCTATAGTCTGCTGCTCTTTCATATATTTAGAACATTTTTACATTAAGCTTTCATAGGAAACATTGCACTGACACCAAGAAACACTTTGTAGAAGATCCTTTTTTTATTTTTATTTTTTTTTATTTGATTTATATGCCGCCCTTCTCCGGAGACTCAGGGCGGCTTACAATGCATTAAGCAATAGCCTTCAGACTTTTGTATATATTTATACAAAGTCAGCTTATTGCCCCCACAAACTGGGTCCTCAATTTACCTACCTTAGAAAGGATGGAAGGCTGAGTCAACCTTGAGCCTGGTGAGATTCGAACTTACAGTAATTGCAGACAGCTGGTGTTAATCACAATGATATCAGTCTGCTGAGCCACCAGGCCCTTTTGAGCAATTCAATTCCTCAGCTCTGTCATTTTGGCTGACACAAAGCCTACTGGGTAAACTCAGTATCCCTAATCTCATTTAGGTTCCTTATCCACGGGAGAAGATACCCTGAAGAAAGAGTAACCAATTAACAAACTCCATACTTTTAGGATTGCCTATGCTCAATGTTGGAAACAGCCATGTACACCAGCAGAGAAACTGGTCATACAAAAGGTCATGAATTGCGCAGAAATGGACAAATTAACAGAGTCTAAAAGATAAAGAGACATCAATATTTTATAATGTGTGGGAACAGTGGTATACCTGGATAGAACGGAGATAGATTGAAGGTAGTTATTAAGTACAAGTAGTAGATAAAATAAGAATGTAAACATGCACAATTTAATTTTTGTAAGTAATGCACAAATTATTGTCACAAGAAAAACACCACAATTACCTGTCAAATGAAATAATTTTGTTTTTAATGTAATAAAAGTTTAATAAAGTGTTTATTAAAAAAAAAAACCCAGGGAAGTCAGCTACTCCCCATATAATCACAACAGAGAACCAGCGTCCTTGTTCACAGGCAGCACCAGTGATTAAAAAACCCGCAAGTTGGACAAAAGAAAATGATAAAAGACACTGACAGCCAGCTCTGCGATTTTTCTTTTTTCTTTTTCTTTCTCTTTTTCCTTCCTTCCTTTTCTTTCTCTCTCTCTCTCTCACACACACACACCCAACCCATGGATATTGGGATAACCGCTACTCCAGAGGGTGAATGTTTTTGACTCCCTCTTAATTTAGAAAAGGACATTTTTTAAATCAAAAGGAGGGGGGAGAAAGGAAACCAATGGCCCCAAAAGAAGGGCGAGTTAAAGGGGGGAGGGGGGGGGGGGGGGGGCAGGAAAGCCTAGGATTTATTTCCCAGTCGCTTTGCGGAAAGAAGGGCAGCTCCTCGCATAAGGGAAGGGTCAGCAGCCAGGCGTCGCCCTCTGGGGTAAACAAGAAACACCGCCCAACCAGCCCTGCGCAAGGCCGGGGACTCTTAGCGAAGGCAGGCCCAAAGGACCGGTTTCTGCGGGTTGACCCAGAAAGGGCGCTTTGCCGGCCCGGTGCTCTTCCAAGCCGGTAATCCTCATAAGTCCCAAGCCCAACTCCGGTTGAGGGTCGGCGGGTGGCTCCCAAAAAGCCGGACGGCGACAGTGGGAGCGAGGCGGCCTAATCCTGCGAAGGCCCAGGGCGTAAGAAACAGAGCTTGGTGTGTCAGACATTAGCGGGCCTTTCACCCTCCCCACCCTCAGGCCAGTGCGAGGCCCAGCCCTCCACAGGCATCCACTCGCTCGCTTGGGACTGCCAAGGGAAACCGAGGGGGAGAAAAAAAAAAAAAGGGCAGCCCCCCCTCCCCGCGCTTACCCGCTGCCAGCGAGCAGAGGAAGACGAGGAGAGCGAAGCGCCTCATTGTGAGCGTCTCTTGTCAGGAGTTCCGCCGCCTGCAATGCGGGGAGCATCAGCTGATGGGCGCTTTTATACCCAGGCGCTGCGAGGGAGGGGGGGGGAAGAAACGCAGCTACTGCGCGTGCGCCGTGGTGGACTGGCGGCGGCGCCGGCGGGTGAAGCCGGCCCTCCAAACGAAGCATTGTGGTCGTTGCGCAAGCCTAGTGGCGAGAAAAGCGCGAGCCGTCTTTTTCTCCCTCTTCGGAAACCTTCAAACGGTGTGCGCTTGCGCGTTTCTGTCTCCTTTCAGTTTGTCCACCCCCCACCCACCCCCCACTTTCAGCCCAACTGCTGACACTGACTCATCTAAAATCTTGGGAGCGCGCGGGGGGGGGGGGATTTGACGCGAAGTCACGAGACTTCCAACCGGCAGGTTCATCCAAAGCCTGAAAGACAGTTATAAATACTTTTAAACGATCTGGCTTATTTTGTTACTTGCTTGATTTTATGAATGCTGCTTGCCCTGCAGCCTTCCAACCTCCCGTTTGTCTACTTAGTCCAGGGGTCTGCAACCTTAAACACTCAAAAGAGCCATTTAGACTCGTTTCCCACAGAAAAGAAAACACCGGGAGCCACAAAACCCTTCCTGACTATTTCTTGAGCGGCCACAAAACTAGCCTATGTAGTTGAATTAAATGCTCTGTTTTCTTCTGAAACTTTTCTTTTCTTGGATTTATCCAGGGTTGGCCTACCGGGGGTTGAAAAGCTCAATAAATCGTGTGCTGGCGGGTGTCGCACATTGGTGGTTGTAACACATATTTTGAGTTGACATGGAGCAGCAGCAGAGGGGTGAAAGAGCCACATGCGGCTCCAGAGCCGCAGGTTGCTGACCCCTGACTTAGCCAAATCAAATTACAGAATCCATGTCATCTGTCCTTCCAAGTCTGGGGGGTTTACAACCCCCATCGTCCTTTAAAAATAAATGTAAAAACAGTTTCAACAGAATATGCATGTCTAATAACAATGGAATCTGCAGTGAAAATAAACTTGGGAACGACACTAGACTAAATGTTGCTGCACAATGTGTGACTGACTCCCTTACGACATCTTAGTGCTCAACAGAGGAAAAGTTTCGGCATATTTGCTTCTTCAGTACCTTGGTGCTGTAATTTATCTTCTAGAAGCAAATTGCAAACCGCAACCCTCCTTTGTATGTAACCTCCCTCGTAATTATTTTAGTGCCTCCAGTTCTGTATTATACCTCAGATACTTTTGACTCTTGCATATAGTGTCTTGACTAGTGGAACTTTCTTTATCGGTTGCATTTTTATCTCTGGGGATCTTCCCTAACTTTAATCTTTTTTTTTTTTGAAATTTTTTTTTATTTTTAAACAAAACTTAAAACATAAAACAATTATCATCCGTTACAATTACAGAAAGTGTATTGATCGGTTACAAATCTTTTGTGCTTAATCCTCTATCTGACATTTTCTTATTTAACAGTTTATTACATTATTATTCTCATTTACCAATTATTTGACAGTAGCTTATCCTCCATAAGGGAAATAAACCCCTCTTTATATGTTTTATTATTTTATCCATGTCATAGTTCATGTTTCATTTCCATGCTTTCTTGTCTAACCATTGATAAAATAAATCCCATATTAAATAATATTTTGTCTTCTTGTTCCCTAATTTCAAATGTCAATTTGCTCATTTCAGCACACTCCAAAATTTTCTTAATAACATCGTCATCTGTAGGTATCTTCTCTCCTTTCCAGTTTTTAGCAAATACAATTCTAGCTGCCGTTAAAACATTCACAATTAAATATCTCAATTCTCTATTGTATGTTTCTGGTAAGATCCCTAATAAAAATATCTCTGGTTTAAAGTCAATGTGCTTCTTTGTCATTTTTTCCAGCCATGTGTGGATTTTAGTCCAATATCTTTTGGCATCTGCACATGTCCACCACATATGGTAATATGAACCCGGGGTCTGATGAAACTTCCAACGTTTCTCCGATTTATTCTTGTACATTCTGGCTATTCTCGCCGGTGGTAGATGCCACCTATAAAACATCTTATACAAGTTCTCCTTATATGCTGTTGACATTGTCATTTTATAATTCTGCAACCATAGTTTTTCCCATTTTCTAAATTGATTCCATGACCAACATTTTCCCCCCATGCAATCATTGTTTCCTCGTTCTTCTGCCAATTTTACTTCTAATAAGTAACCATATAGTTTTTTAATTACATAGTCATCAGAACCTGTTAAAATTTTATCTAAATTCGTCAAATTGCTATAGAAACCCTCCATTTTAGAATCTTTATCATATCTAGACTGTATTTGCATATATGAAAACCAATCCATTTCAATCTCTTGTTCTAGTTCTTGCTTCGACTTAAGTTCACCCTTTTCATTTAATAATTCACAATATCTGACAATTTGTTCCTTTCTAAATGTTATTGAGTATGCGACTGCTTCAATAGGAGATAACCAGACTGGAATTTTTAAGTAATGACATTGTTTAATCTTCTCCCAATTTAATAACAAAGATTCTCGTATCATATGCCTTCTAAAATAACTCTGTATTTTTGTACTTTTATACCATATAAAGGCGTGCTAGCCCAACAACAAATCATGTCCTTCTAAAGTCAACAATCTAACATTCCTTAACGTTATCCATTCTTTAATCCACATCAAATTACAAGCTTGATAGTATAATTCCCAATCTGGCAAACCAAATCCTCCTCTTAATCTAATATCTTGCAACAGTTTTAATTTTATCCTTGTCTTTTTACCCTGCCATATATATATTAACACAATTTTATTTAAATCTTCAAAATATTTTTTCCCCAACTTAATTGGGATTGTCTGAAATAAATATAAGAGTCTGGGCAATATATTCATTTTAATAGTTGATATTCTCCCTATCAATGATAATTGCAAATTCTCCCATTTTGCCAGATCTGTCGGTATCTGTTGTTTAAGTTTATCATAGTTATTCGCCCTAACTTTAATCTTAATAATACCACGAGGTAGATTAGGTTGAGAAAGAATGACAGGCTCAAAATCATCAGTGAGTTCTTTGGTTGAATGGAAAATGTAAGCCCTATTCTAGATCTGAAAATCTTTTGTTTTAATATATATATATTAAATATATACATATATATACACACACGCCCTGTTTCCCCCAAAATAAGACATCCCCTGATAATAAGCCCAATTGGGCTTTTGAGCGCATGGCAATAAGGCCAAGTAATTTTCCTTTAACAACCATACATATTTTGTGGACAGTGTATTGACTGGGTCAATATACTTTTTACACAATGCTTTGTCTTCCAACTTCTAACCTTAATACACACATTGTTGTTATAATAGATTCTTTTATATATAAGTGTATATATACTATTTTCCCAATTTGTACTCATTCCCCCTCCCCCATTTGTTGGGGTTCTTCTGCATTCACATCTTTGTCTTTAAACAGTACCATTCTCTCTTTATGATTCTTTATCACTTTCCATAAATATATTTAAACATCAATAACATTTCTTCATACAATGTGTTTATTGTCCCCTGATGAATCACTAATATTTTAAATATTAAAATATTAATATTTTAAATATTGCTCAAAGCTCCACCATAATTCCAATATCTAGATCTGGAAATCTCAATGTCAGGGGAAACTGAACTGTTTCTTCTATCGTGTTTATATTTTTTAATTCAGCAAGCCTAATAGAATTTAGTGGCATGTATCAAAGGTGGGTTTCAGCAGGTTCTGACCTGTTCTGGAGAACCGGTAGCGGAAATTTTGAGTAGTTCGGAGAATCGGTAGTAAAAATTCTGACTGGCCCTGCCCACATCTATTCTCTGCCTCCCAAGTCCCAGCTGATCGGGAGGAAATGGGGATTTTGCAGTAACCTTCCCCTGGATTGGGGAGGGAATGGAGATTTTACAGTATCCTTCCCCTGCCACGCCCACCAAGCCACACCCACAGAACCGGTAGTAAAAAATTTTGAAACCCACCACTGGCATGTATGAAAAGAACAAAAAAAAATAATGTTATTGTAAGTACTTTTATATTTGCTTTGAACCTTGATCATCCTACTTAGGATAAGTAACAACTTTTCTAACTTTTTAATTATGGTTTTGTAGTGTTTTGGAAAATAGTTATGACCCTAAGTGATAAAACTGCAACATCTATGGAATGACCTCCGAGTCAGGAATGCTAGACTAAGCCCTGGTGAGTTGGCGTCAACATCTCAATACTGCTGCTATTTCTTTAGTCATGTGGTGAGTGACTGATCACATGAGAAATCAGTTGAAACTGTGTGTTAAATGTGATTTCTTACTTTTAGAGATGGAGTATTTGGTCTGTGAAGGGGATTTTTAAAAATGTTCCAGGTTTTTAACAGCTATGCTGCTGTCCTTGGCTCTCTTTCTAAATATGAAAGATTTAATCAATGTGCCTTTTGTGTATTATCGCTCTAGATAGAGATAAGCCAAATCTTGGTATATAATAGATCAAATGTAACAACTGTTGAATATCTATGAGCAGACTACTGGAAGATGCAGTTTCTGTTCCTTACTTGCAAACATTACAGATAAGCTCCACAATTAGTCAGTGGCCTTCTCCTGCTCATTTCTCACCCATCACCCACTAACATGGCTGGGAAAAAAATCTCTGAATTTATATGATTCCATTTAAGCCAGACCTGTTTCTTCTTTTATTTATTAGGGTTTTTTTTATTCTGCCTTTATTACTTTATAAGTAACTCAAGGCAGCGAACATACATAATATTTCTTCTTCCATTTTCCCCACAATAACAACTCTGTGAGGTAGGTTCGACTGAGACAGAAGGACTGGCCCAAAGTTCTAAATTAGGAGTAGAACCCAGAAACTCTTGGTTTCTAGGCCCAAACCTTCACTTCAGGTAGTTCTCGACTTACAACAGCTCATTTAGTGACTGAAGTTACGATGGCACTGAATGTTCTGTCCCCGTCCCACACGCACACACACCAACAGACGTCCTAGAGTTAAAAACCAAACCAGCCGACAAAATCCTTTTCCTTATGATAACGGAACTTGGCAGCAACCTAGTGGCTGCCTGCCAAGAGTTTATT